ATTATTATTATTATTATTATTATTATTATTATTATTATTATTATTATATTTATATTTATTTATTTATTTAACTGGCACTGTTGGTTGCTGCCAGCATCCAACATTATTGTTGTTATTATTATTCATCGCACAGTCAGCCAGATGTTCAGGCTGGGTTTGGCATTTTTGTCTATCTATCTAGTCCTTACCAAGGATCTGGAAAAGGCAAATCTGGATATTTGATGGTGTTATTGGTGTTCCCGCAGGAATGGAAGCTGCTCCAAGTAAAGCTGCCTTCTGCAATTGACCGATGGCAAATTTGTCAATGCCTATGGTGTTCAAGGGGTGCTCCAGTTTTGGGACTGTACCCAAGGCACATAATAAAAATAAAAATAAAAATAATAAAAATAACAACAATAAAAACAAGAATGTTTTGGGACTGTACCCAAGGCACATAATAAAAATAAAAATAATAAAAATAACAACAATAAAAACAAGAATGATAAGAAAGACTTTCAGACCCGAAGAACCTTCTTGAACCAAAGGTAAAAAGTTGTTTTTTAAAAAACCCACCAAGAAAGTCCAGTTGCCTTTTGGAAAGAAAAAGAAAAAAAGCACCTTTGGGACAACCATGAACCGGATGATTGAGGATCTCCATAGAGGGACCTACCCCTGCGATGTTTTTAGAGAAAGAAGTCTGGGTTGATAAGATCCAGCCAACTGAGGCCTAATCGAGGATGCTTGAAGAGGCAGGAGACAAAGCGGGTGTATCCAGGCGCTGCAAGAAGCTCGCAGGAACCTGTTGGGTCTGATAGTGTTAACAGTTGCTTCAAGTTTAACTCAAGCTGGCCTCAAGGGTGCAATTCGGTCCTGCATAAAAATCTCCCTGTGGCACTTTCATTGTTTGCAAACACATCCACTAATTGAAAGGAGAGACGCCCGCGGGGCGGCTTTGGGGTTTTTTTCTGGACACCCAAATCCAGAAGAAAATTTGCTCCCCTCACCCTTTCCCCCACCCGCTTCCGACTGGAGAAACCCCCTGTGAACTGATTTGTAGTGTTGGAGTTAAGTATAAGTTAGAGGCCATGTGAGCAATCCTCACGGTCTACCGGCAAGCAATGCAAACTGTATTGTGTGTGTGTGGGGGGGGGGGGACGACAACGAACAGGAGATTTGCTGCCTGGGATTTTGGAAAGTCCAAGATGGAAAGCCCCTGTTTCTAGATCCGCCCTTGAAGCTTCTCTTTATCCTAGACCTGGCTGCTGGGACCTCCCCTTCCTCTCCTGTATGATGCAACAGCTAGCAACAGTGCACTGCTCAGTACAGACCAATATCTGCTGACATGAACAGTACACGGATTTCTCCTTTACTTGCTTGCCAGGTTTTATCTTAAAGCTGCAATCTTGTATACACTTATCCCGTGAATAGTAGGCCGCCACCTCTGGATTACACCAAAAATAATTGCCATTCAGTCCTGTTTTGCAATGAAGTCCCATTAGAATTGCTGCTTTTGAGTGCATTGGTATAAAATTATAAACCGCTACTTACAATATTCTCTGTGGAACTTTCAAACCTGCATTTTCCTTTCCTTGCCTCATCCTTGTATATTTAAATCCTAAATCAATTAAGGCCACGTGTCTGATGCAGTGAGTGGCACCTTCGGAAAGTTTGTGCCTTAGATTAACGGTGTGTTGTTAATCTTAAAAGATGCTACTGAAGTCAGACTTTTTAAATTTTGGATGCCTTCAGTTTGTACTTGGACATATTGCTTTCCAGATCATTACAATGTTTATCCGTTATTTTTGGTAATCTGGCTCGATAGGGAAAATTTCAGTATTGATCATTAGCTGTCCAAACTTATAAACTGATAATTTTTAGGGACGAAATCAGTGGATCCACTTTACATTGAAACTTGGCTGAAAAGAAATGTGGAACTGCTTAACATTAAGCCTTGTCTCATGGTAAGATGGAGGCAAACAGATTGAATAAATATCTTTTGCTTCAATCACCAGCAATGCATTCAATTGGGTTTTGCTGATTAGGTTTGTTATAGAAATGGTTAATATATATTATATAAAAGTATAAAGTTGAAGTTTTACCTTATTCTGCTGCCTCAAATGGAATCGGAAGTCAATGATCTTTCCCACCCTTTATCCTACACTCTTTTTCTTACCTTTTTCCTTATTTTCCCCTTATTTTCATTTTATTTGTACTTCTGTATTTTATATTTTGATAGACTAATCAAACATTTGAATCCAAAAAGCAATGCATTCAGTAAGCTAAGCAGTGACTGAATTGGTGCTGAATCAAATTATTGGTAATGAATTGCAGATTATTACTTTTATGTCCGCTCTTTTATTTTTTTTGCAAATTTTATTTGAGTTTTCACAAAAAGAAAAGAAACACAATTAAAACATCTTTTTTGAAAGCAGCATAATCCCAGGTTACATTTCTTCGTGCAGACACAATTTTAGGTTCATGCTCATTTTTATATTCTATTCCATATCTTATTACAATTTTACATTTTCTACATAGCTTCTCCCCTCTTTTAATTTCCTCGATTTTACTATATTTATTTCCTCTCAATTCAAATCATATTTATATTTTTGTCTGTCCTGTTTCAATTGTCTATTATCTTTTCTCATTAAACAAAATTTCTCCTGTAGTTACTGATTGGAGTATGACGCCTTTATATCTTTCCCCTAAAGTTATAACACTCAATATAATACATAGCTTCCATTCGGATTCTGTTTGGTACATTCTTAAACTACACACAATATTCTTATAACAAAGAAAAAATTATAAATGTATATAATTAAAACAACATTCCATTCCAATTCAATTCTATCGTTAATATTAAAATTCATTAAAGTCTTAAGATTTTTCACGTTACTTTTCAATTAAATATCATACCTCTGTGGGAACAATTATTAGCTTTCCATAGTCAATTCCCCTCCTCTTCACTTATATTTTATAAAACAGTTGCAGATTGTTACTTTTAAGTCTGCTTTTTGAAGGAGTAATTTCTGAGTAATTTAGAACTTATTTAAATGGCTGTCCACTAGGACTCCGAGATCCCTCTCACAGTTAGTACTATCGAGCAAGGTACCACCTATACTATACCTGTGCATTTGCTTTTTCTTGCCTAAATGTAGAACCTTATTTTTTTCACCACTGAATTTCATTTTGTTAGATAGCGCCCAATGTTCAAGTCTGTCATTTAGTACTTCATTATTGTGCTGGCTCAAAGTGACTCTCCTACCAGATTCAAATCATCGGAATGGCTCAAGGCAGTCTGAATGCTTGCTGATTGATTTCTTTTAAGGGCATGGACTAACAGAGCCAGCCTTGAATTTCTGCAGCCAAACTTTCTGTTAAAATTTAACAAGGTGGAGCAGACAAAGTCCTTGTTTTACACAATCAGGTGCTCTGCAGGAAGCCGCTACTGATTCCATCACATGCACAACAGCGCAGGGCTTGGAATGGTTAGGGTCATGACCCTGCTAGATAATTAGTAGTTTAATTTATTTGATCATCTGAGTCACCTGGAATAGGGATGAGTCAGTAAAGAGTGCAAGAAAATACATTCCTTTTTTCCCCCTCACACTTATCTGGCAAACATAAAGTCTCCCTTGAGTTTAAAATTAGAAAGTGTTTGGTAAAGCCTTCTTTACATTAACATTATTCATTAAAAGGTGCAAACTTTTTTTGTGGAAGGGCGGGATATGTTTTATTGGTACATTTTCCTTTTAAAAACATAAAAAATTCCATGTCTGTCTGAACAGCGTGTTGTCTGGGCACAGTTAATTTTAAATAAAGATACAACAGTAACCAAAATCATACTAGTAATCTTAATAAATATATCCATATTAACCACAGCATAATAATATGATCAGTTTATCCATCTTGCAAAATTTTTGATACAAATTCTAATCTTTTAAAATTCCGTTTAGTTTCTAACCTCTCTTTCTCTTAGTTAGCCATTGGTAGAATAAATCCCAAGTTAAAAAAATATTCTGTTTCTTCCTTTTCTTTTATCTTAAGGGTCAATCTATCCATTTCGGCACATTCTGATTTTTTTTTTTATTATACTTTCATCTGTCGGGAGTTCATCATTTTTCCACTATTTTTTTCTTCTTCAAATGAGAACAGAGTTTTATTGGAAAGCTTTAATGATGAAATACAACAGCCCCTATTTTACTGACGACGACCATGGTGACCGCCCTTTCTGTGAGTGCCCTTTCTATCCTCAAGGCGCCCAATCTTCATGCCAGGCCAAGCCAGAGCCCAGAGATTGAGCTCCAGGTGCAGGACTTTTTGTTCTATTTCCACCTGTAGCCCGCAGTTTGATATGAAGGGCAGTGATTCCCATTTCCTTGCATCTTTGTGCTACGTCTTGAGCAGCCAGCATAGCAGCATAAGGAGAGGACTCATCCCTGTCGGCCTTCACTTTCATGCCACCAGTTACTCGGCAGGTAGTTTCCTTGCCAGACAGGTCAGTTACATGGACAAATGTATCACTGAAGGAAGCAAAGATGTGGCAAATTCCAAACACGTTTTCTCCTTCAGCAACCTGTGGTCCCAAACTTATAACCTTTTCCTTACCCTTACGGGGAGCCACTTTCAAGTGTCTCTGCAGGCGGCAGCAAACACTATTCTTGTGCTGTTGCTACATGCAAAATAAAGTATGTATTCCCTTTATTATATTGTTCTGGTAGTATACCCAGCAGAAATATTTCTGGTTTCAAATCTATATTGTTGCTTTATCATTTTTTATAACCAAGTACTGGTATATACTTTAGTCCTATATTTATTTTTGCCTTCGGACATGTCCACCACATATGATAAAAGGTGCAAACTTTTGTGAACAGTGGTTAATTTCAGTGGTTGATGTAAAATCTAAATAGTAATAAGATAATCAGGGAATAAGGGAAGATTATAACATATGCATGTTACAAGTTTACGGATACTTCGTCAATGAGCAGTTATACTTGGCGTCCAGTAATTAAACAACCGTATGCATTTTATTTGCTCAAAAACAATTGACAAGTAATTCACTCTTTCCTTCTAGGAGATTTTCTTTCTTTTTTGTTAGGTTCCCAATTTAGTCCACAGACCTGTAAATTCACCAACACTGGGAGTTAATTTCCACACACTTTAAAATTGCCAAAGTTGAAAACCATTGCTATAGAGCTTGGTTCCAGACCATATATTGTTCAGCATATTTGTAAATGACTTGGATAAAGCATTACGTTAGAACAGAGGTCTCCAAACTTGGCTGGCTGAGGAATTCTGGGAGTTGAAGTCCACAAGTCTTAAAGTTACCATGTTTGGGGACCCCTGTATTAGAAAGTAGGCAAACCGCACAAAGATGGGATATAGCAAGGGCCTGGGAGGATGTGGGTCATGGTGGAGAGGAGAGTTTGGAGAAGTTGAAACGATGGGCAGAAACCAGCAGTATTTATTGCAACATTGAAATTGGGGAAGCACACTGGGTGAGTTATATGTGGCAAAGGGATGTGGGTGCCCTTGTAGATGGCTAATTGAATATAAGCCAACAATGCGAGGCAACCGCAGAAATAAAGATTCATTTCTAGAGTGCATTAGGAAAAAGATAGCGTCAAGATTAAAAAAAGGCCTTTTTTTTCTAAATTGCTCAGACTTAATAAATCTGAATGTATCAGAGGAGAATTAGAATAGAATAGAATTGAATAGATAATGAAAGAATAGAATTAAGAATGATAGAATAGAGTAGAGTAGAGTAGAATAGAATAGAATAGAGAATGGAAGAATAGTATAGAATTAAGAATGATAGAATGGAATGGAAGAACCATAGAATAGAATAGAATAGAATAGAATAGAATAGAATAGAATAGAAT